GGCTACCCGTATCTTTTCGATCAAGAAGACAAACCGGCCTCCATGTTTACTTTATGGTAACATCTCGATAGTGTTTTTCTTAGGAGGAAGCGCGTTTCGGCAGTTTCGATTCTCATGTTCGTTTCGTCTCGAGAAAATTCCCTCCGCGTTTCTCTGCTCGTGTTATGTCAATGTTATATAGGATATCCATTTTATGGACGACAACCTCCTTTTACTTTCTAAGCAGATGATCTACGCTGGAATACAAATTTTTCCATTAACTCAAATTTAAAATTTTAAAAGATCGCGAGGATAGATCAGATTTAATTAAATTTATCCTAACCAAAGAAAAATCGTTCCTAAAGTAAAGAAATCATAGATAAAAATAGTTGAGCTTCGAACATTTCTACGATAGACACAACGAATGTCGCTGTTAAATTGGTTATGTACTTTACACGGATATTCACGATGTGTCATTCGTGCTTATATTAAAAGCTACTATTTTTCAGTTCACTGGAATTTCTATGGCCATCGTAATAGAAGAAGAGTTTACCTATAAATCAATGATACTCCGCGCCATGCGATTCGTGTTCAAAAGCTTACCTCTCACGAGAATTTTTGTTGCGGTAAAACAAACTTATATCTGTTTTCAATTGAAACATAATTTAAAAGATTGACCTACAAATGCTATAAGTTCAAGGAATAGAGTTGTTCAGAAAACAATAAGAACTTACTCTTCATAAACTTACTTTTCATAAATTTAAATATTATTAAACGAGCTTATGTATATGTGTTAGTAATATATATATATAGATGTTCAGAAATTATTTTTATTGCATTTTTATATTGTTCAATAAGTTCGTGTTTTTTTTTTGATAATTGTTTTGTTTTATCGTAATTGATTTATTTTATTGCAACTATTTTCTTTCATTGATAAAACATAATTCTATTATTTTTTGCCATTGAAAATCAAATAAAATGGCTATCAATTTCTTTCAATTTAAAAAAAGACGCATTTTAATTGAAATCACAATCGAAATATATTGCTGCAATCTTCGATCAATTATATGCCACATTGATAATATATTTTCATCTATATAATATATCCCGTAATATTGAAAAGAGCATGATACAGAAAAATAAATTAATGTATTTTGTGAGTCAATGATACTGATTAGTCTACGCGCATGGTCTTCTTTAAAACTATGTAAATTTTGAATATGAAACATACATTCTTCATATGTGTGCTTGTGCATAAACACTGACTCGAGCGTAGGTAAATATTTTAAACGATTTACTACGGCGCGAGATATATCACGTTTGTAGACAAGATATATCCTCTCACGGATTTCATTTCGTTAAACGTAAAAGTTAAACCGCGTTCCAGTTACAGGTGGGACTCGCTACCATCAAGAGTCCATTCATACGAAATTCATAGACGTACCGTTGCAAAATAACATTATTCGTTGCGTCCCACCGATATATGAGCAGAGTCCAATTTGTTTCTCACCACAATTTATACAAATTATTCTAAAAAAGCATCATCTTGTTTAAATGTAGAAATAGAATTAACTAGTACAATGTATAATATATCACTGTATGATTCGTTATAATTCGTACAAAATTTTAAGAAATTTTATTTTAATAAATTTTCTCTGATAATAATAGTTTTTAAATAAAATATGCACATGAAAAAGAGAAAAAGAGAAAGAGGAGAAATTTTATTCATAAAATTTTCTCTTTCTCTGAGCTTCCAAGAGCTCTATTATATTAAAATAAACGTGGCATTATTATTATTAAGATTGCAAGTTATTAGAAGCACTAGAAGGATATTTGCTAAAAGATATTTTATCTTGTAGGAAGTAATTAATTGCAACCAGTTTTTTCCATCTCTCGCTTAGTTAAACGTAAAGTAAAAGCACGCTCAGGCAACATTGCTTTTTTTACAGCTAATTCCGGAACGAATTCTTTAGCTCAACATTTTTCTGTCGACGCGGCGCCGCTGACCACTGTCGTTAATCGTTTCGTAAATATACTGAAATGCGTAACCTCTATCTAAAGTCAATCGTAAAATATTTACTTACATTTCCGTGCGCGAACCATAGTAAAAGTAAATATTTGATCAATTGTAACAGTTACCGTAAAATTCGACTATTTTCATTCCATCTTTCTTATGATATATAAAAGCTCCTTTATTAATTTTATAATCCATTTTACTTTCTTAGAATTTCATTAATATCTTATTACGCACAGATTTTAAATGTGGAATTTAAATTTGTTTAAAAAATTATATATTGAAAATAAACTCAGCTTCCCATCGAGAATTAATTAATGTACGAAATATGTGATGTTATGAACAATATAAATAGTAATTGCTTTATAATCTGAAAATAATATATAAATAATAAGATAAGATCTTTTAATCATAATTATTTAATTGCTGTAATTAATACATTTTATATTATAATATAATTTTTCAAATATTGATTGAAAATTATTATATGTGTAGTATATATTTCTAGGAAAACAAAATTCATCTTTTTCTCATAAAGAATAAATTTATAAATATATAAATGCGAAAGTAAAATCCATTAACTGCGGAGTAACACCGGATGCTAAGCTTTTACAAAGCAAAATAGCACAATTTTTCTTTTCTATTCTTTTCCTTTGCCAATAAAGTGATTTTTCGATTGGCAGAAAGAACATTAATGCTTTTTGTGGAATCATACAATGTCGTAAAAAGTCGCAGATGAAAACGTAAAACTGCGTGCCAATAAGTTTTTTACTACTTATATGAAAACACTGTTTCTAGAATTTGTTTGAACTCTATAAAATTGAATTATAGATTGACTTGATTAGTTTTTTTTTAAATAGCATTTTAAATAGCAATTTATCAATAAGTTATTTACTCACTAACTATGCTACTTTTTAAGCAAATAATTTAATAAATAATCAGTTTAAACAAGCAGTTGATTAGTTGATTAATCAATCTTGTTAACCGTACATGGTAATTGAAGTGGAAATTATGAGGATACGCGCATCGCGGAATAATCCTACTTGCATGTTTGCTCGTGTCCGGGCTGTAATTAGATATTAATCGACTGCAAATTATCATAATGCAACTGCGGTGCGGATCTAACGCTTTCATGTTTTGTGTCCAAATAGGCGTCGGTTATTTTTTTGTGCACCAGCAATAGCGTTGCAGAATCACGATTGGTTATTGCGGTATACGCGCTTCATTAGGTGCTTTATCTGTCAACAATTAATCCTTTTGCTACTACAGGCTATTAGATGCCCTTTCAACCGCGAATATGCTGTGCTGCGAGCGTGGAATGAATGTTAGTGACGATAGGTATTTTGCGGTGTGAAATGCGCAATGATGCGCGTCCATACAAGTTGAATTTTATGCATTAATACAGGGTGTCCCGATATAATCGATTTTAATCAATCAATTTTAAGAATTTTTTTATGTAAACTTAGAATATTAATTTTTTATTTTGAAAAAAAGATCATAATCTTGTATAAATATTTTTATTCAAATTTTTTACATTAAATAATAATAAAATCTTTTTCTCCCTCATAATAATGAAAGCTCGTATATATCTCTAAAAGAGAGTAAAACTTATTTGATTTTTAAATAAACACTAAATTTTTTTGTTTAATTTTATTATAATATAACTGAATTTTATTAATAATATAACTGAAAATTCTCTTACAGATAAGTTAGTCATCCATATTATTTGATCAAAATAAAATCTTCTCATACTAATTCATTTCGCTTTTCTGACTAGTACTCGAAGGTACGTACGCTTTTAACCAAGCAAAATTTTTCATATATCGATAGATTTATAGATGATATTCTTCGAACTTCTATCCTATTCTATAATATGCTCACGATTTAATAACTTGAATAATTTCTTCATGTCACTTTTACATAGTATATATCTTTATAGCGTCTCTTTCTCTCTTTTTTGTTTTATTATTAAGTCAAATTAATTTTACTCTCGCATTTTTATCGTCGCGATAACACAAATACATTATTCTTTTCTTATTTTCAAGAAATATTTCCTTGCCATTGTTTAAGATCGTATCGCTATTTAAAAAAATTAATATCCTTCTACAAATAAATAAAAAATAATGTAAAAACTTATTTAATATATAACTGATATCATTTTAGTAACTTTATAATTGAAAATAAAATAATCTCTACAATATTTTTTTATGTTATATAAAATATACCGTAAATATTTCAATAAAACTTTATTTTAACCGTGAATTTTTTTTTTTAAATTAAAATTAATTTTTATCGTCAATATCGGATAAAGTTTTAGTATCAGTTTTAATATAATAATATATCCAACTTGTATTATATAGAAAACAAGTAGAGTTTCCAATTATTCACCAACTTCTATCATATGATAAACTACAAGTCAGAAGTTACTACTGTCTGAGATATTGTAGAGCTTTACTACTGGGAGATGTAGAGCCAAAAGTTTCTATTGGATAATCTCAAATGCAAACTTACATACCTAGCTGTTGACAGATTATATCGGATTGGGGAAATACATGCAACTTATTATCCGGTTTATGTGAAAGATTACTATTGTCAATGATATATTATTGCAGCAGAACTAGTTTCAAATATTTTTGTATTTATTCTATGAATTAAATCTTTATCAAAATAATATTGTCTTTGAATTTACACGAAGAATAAGATTTTATCTATCAAAATATAATATATGTATAAAATAATTTATATATTATTAAATTTATATATATTTTTATTATTTATTTTATTTTAAAAAGGTAAAATCATCATTATTGATCATTTTTAATTATTTATAACGCAAAAATTCTTGGTCTTAACATTTTTCCATTAAAGATATTTTAATTTTTGATAAAAATCTATATACAATAAAAAAAAACGCTGATGACATTTGTCGAACGTTTCTCATGAAATGTCAGAGAGATTTTCTTAAGTGGGAACAAGAGATAAATACATTTAGAAAACGAATGTGTACCTTGTGTGTGACGCTGATAAAAGCCGGGAAGCTGACAGAAGCGGGTCTACCGAGGAGTTTCTGCGAGGATGATAGTCTGTCGTCCAGCGACGGTGGATACGGCTCTGCGAAGGCAAACCGTCCGCCGCGCGTTTATATAAGCCCAGCGCGACTTTGCGATTCTCGCACCCTCCATGCACGTCCCCACCCCCGGGACCGGTTCCCACCCCTGTCCGTCGATCCGCCACCAAAGCATCCTCGTCCAATCATACGTACCCCGGTACTTCGGTCACAGTATATTCTTCCTCCTCTGGTCCCGCGATCGTTCGCGAATTTTGTTCATACGCGAATTCGAATCTCGTACCTCGATTATCGACGACAAGCCACTACCGTTGGAATTTCTAAGTATAGATGTATTCCACAGGTGCTTGCCCCTGAAAACTTTCGAAGATTCACCCTCTTGATAAATTATCGGCGTCGACTGACGGCGTATCTTGTCGAAGAAGTGCCGATAGATTGCTAAATGGACTGTGCGATCGATTTTTTTTCACACACGACATTATAAGCATTAAGCTAAGAGATGTGTATTCTCGGTTAAGAGGGAAAAAGTCCTTCAAAGCGTAATAATAAATCATATTGTCGTTATTATATAATAATGACGACAATATGATTTATTGTTACGCTTTGAAGGAGATTCTTATTTCTTTAATTTAAGAGATAAATATTAATATCTATGCAAATATTTTTGCATTTATGATTTCCTTTAAATAATCTCGATTTCAGTGTCCATAGTGAGTTGCGAAATACAATCCAAAATAGACTATGTGGCATGAATAAAATCTCACATTTTTATCTACGAAAGAGAGAGAGGGATGAAGATTAAACTACGATTTCAAATTTTAATTATTACCTTTGAATATCTCTAAGTGATATTAGTTGTTAGGCTTTAGAAATAGTTGTTAGGCTTTAGAAATTACCAGAAACATGTACCAACTGAAATGCAAAGCACGTGTTATTCCTCTCTCTAATCCGTACATGTCTGTTTTCGCATCGATAGGCCTCGGCTGGCCTACGTAACAGATGGCAACCTGTTTTATGCATATAATTTGCGGCAACGGTTGCTTGTTATACTGTGTATCGAAGTATTTGATACATCGGAAATAATAGAACATAAGCGCATTAAGCTTTAGTTTAAAGAAATAATTCCCAACTGTTTAGAGATATATTACCGGGTGAATAATGATAATAGAATTAAACGAGTCATTAAATGAACATTTTGCAATGAAATGGATGAAAATAAAAAAAGGGATGAAAGAGCAAGTGAAGAAAAAATATCGAGTCACTAATCGTTTCTCACGTTTGAATCATCAATTTTCGATATAAAGCTCGATTCTCACGTTTACTTAATATTGTAAGGATTTGAATCAAGAACCTATCAAATATTCATTTTATGTATTCTAAATGACATAATGAATACTTTTTGTTCAAAAAATATCGAATAAACATTACGAGATTATCAAATAAATATTTATAAGATAAATAATTTATAATAATGAGGCAAATATTGGTTTTTTATTACGGATCTCTCATCTACATAGTAATGATCAACAATATGTGAATTTCTTGTTTCCGCTGTAAATATTCATCTAAATATCCGATATTTTTTTAAATCCATCCTCCACAAAGAAAGCTCTTAAAAAAATAAATATATTAAGCATCAATAAACATCAATACAGTAAGCAATCCGCGATTGTCAATTGTCATCGCTGTTTGCGGAGCAAGACCCGCGAAGACCAGCGTACACAGATACAATGGGTTTCTCGTCACCATTTACCAAGAAGTATTCAATTTGCTACGAATACAATGAGAGTACTGTTTGTCCTCTTCTGAAATACGACTAGATCATGTTTCCATTCTTGTGTATACTATATGTATTGATGTATATGAACAATCTCTTTCATTTAATTTTTTCATTAAAAAGGAAAGTTACAATTTCATATACACACAAATTTATTCTCAAATTATCTTTAGATGGCAGAAACACCAATATATTTCTATATAAGAGAGAATATTTGTATTTTATTCAAATTTGAAAAGAAAGAATGTACATAGCAGACTTATGATCTCTATGTGTGTGTATGCATATGTACAGTTTTAATTTTTTCAATATTATTTTATAGTTATTGTTACTATTCTCGATGAATTCACATTTATGTAAATTTTATTTGTGTTTGTTAATAATTGTTTAAATATGCTAAAAAACGGTATTCTTTTTGCATATATGAATTTTTTCGCATTCAAAAATCACAAATGTCACGTATATTGTACACATACGAAATACATATAATGATAAAGGATGCATAATAGAAAATTATATCTTTTTTTATCGCTCTTTTTTATCATCGACATTCCTGTACTTCTGTTTTTTCCTTGTAGTTCTCGCTATCTATCTCATTCGAGCATCTTCGGACTCGAGAAGAGAGCATACTTGACTTTCCCTTTTTCTTCATCATATCAAGAATCGCGTTATTACCGTTTATCGCACAGCCCCTTTTCAGGGCGCGACGCCTTATGCCATTGTCGCTATGCAAATTGCGTAATAGCCCCATTTTAATAATGCCCGTGAAACAGCGCTGGCAAGCACTCGAAACAAATAGCCATCGTGGACATAACATCGTGGATATAAACGAGTAGATGAAATACCAGCCTTTCTTTGATATATTTGATATACGACAGTATGTGAGTTACAGTTCTTTGTTTATGCCAATGTGACACGTGTCGGAAGTTCGAAAGATGAATGAATGAAGAAGCAAGTTAATCGGATAACTGATTTGGTCCGATTAAGGTAATTATTTTATCGTTACGCAAGAAGCATATATATACAGTTATATAAATCATTAGTTTCATATGATGATTTGTGCTCTCTGAGATGTTTTTGCATAATAATGTTACATCATAATTATTATAATATTATTTAAATAGAAGATACAAATATGGGCAGTAATAAGTAGAGCTGCGAAACATTATATTACAATGATAATAGTAATAATAATAATAATAATATTAGCAGTAATTAATAATTTTACCAGTAATATATTTAATACTAATTTCTCATATTGTTTTCGATTTCACTATCTAAGAAAACGTGATATTTTTATACAGGGTGAGTCAGATAAAACGCCCACCGTGTTTTTTTCGAAAACGATAAGAGATAGGTAGAAGAACATCCATTATGAAAACGGTAAGAGATAGGTAGAACATCTGAAAATTGTAGGATAAGTAAGGGCATATACTTTGATGACCTTGAATAACTTTAAATGTCTGTTTTTCACAACAAGAATTTAAAAAAAAATTTTTTTTAATGGAAAGGGGTACTTTGTAATCACTCTATCGATAGTACTCAATGAGCTTAATAACTTTTGTATCAGAGTTTTTGTCGAAAATTCAACCGTTGTCAAGGTATCGACAAAATAAATAATCGGAATAAAAAGTTGGAATAAATTTTTTTATTATTCCTAACTGTACTTACTGTAGTACACTTACTGTAGTAAGTGTTCAAAATGTGTACCACTTTGAGCCAGACATGCCTGTAGTCTTCGCGGAAAACTTGCTTGTACTTCTTCTAACTCCTGTGTGGTTATTTCGCGAAAAATTATTTTAATTCTTTCTATCATATTTTCTCGAGTAGTAGGACGTTGAAAATAGATTAACTCCTTCACTCTTCCCCAGAGGTAAAAGTCCAAACATGTTAAGTCGGATGATTTCGCAGGAAATAGTACAGGACTACCTATCCATTTGTTTGCAAACATTCTGTTGAGCTCTTGTCTCGTATTTATTCCAAAGTGAGATTTCCACCCGATTAAACATGTTTGGATTTTTCCAAATTTTTATTCTGACTTATTTTGTCGATACCTTGAGAACGGTTGAATTTTCGAAAAAACTCTGATACAAAAGTTATTAAGCTCATTAAGTACTATCGATAGAGTGATTACAAAGTACCTTTTCCATTAAAAAAAATTTTTTTTAAATTCTTGATGTAAAAAACGGATATTCAAGATTATTCAAGGTCATCAAAGTATGTGTCCCTATTTATCCTACAATTTTCATAATGGATGTCTTCTATCTATCTCTGACCGTTTTCGAGAAAAACACGGTGGACGTTTCATCAGACTCACCCTGTATATTAGATTACTTTCTGCATTAATATATCTTATATAAATATTAAATAAACATTATTATTTATTTATATAAACATTTATTAAAATATATATTGTACAATCGTATTGTAACATCTATAATACTGTATCTATCTATAATACTGTATAAATCTATAATATTATATTAATATTGAATAATTCTTACTTCCGAATCACAGTGACGAATTTATTATCTTGTCACAGTGTTATTTATTTCTATCTGTCAAAATTATTATTTATCTACTAATTTATGTAGTTATGAAAATTTCGGAATGAAATTTGCGATAATAATGTAAAAAGCGCAAAAAAGAGATAATATTTATATAACAACTACTCTTATCGTATTTTCTATTTATTAGTTATATAAGACATGTCGCGCTGATATCAATGATACACTATTACGTAATAGGCAATCATAACCGAACTTCTTATTGACCATAATTATGCTTTCCGTTTAAGCAATAATGTTATAATAATCATGATATAATATTATTATGCAAATGCACACAAAAGAGTATAAATATAATATAAAACTAATGACTTATATAACTAATTAAGAGAAAAAATTATACAAGATATCATCTACTATATTTTTCGATGAAAATTATGAACTTTACGTTTATTTCAATAATTTTAAATAATTCTAAATCTGTTAAAACATGTAACTTTGTTTCTATATATGTAGATATACAGATAATAGAAGGACAAGTATCGGTTATAAATAAAATATCGGTTATAAATAAAGCAATATTATCAATTTTTTATTAGTGTACGATTTATTATTAATATTATATTTATTATTTCAATTTAATTCTTACTGCGCAGTAAAGATCTTCGAATATTTAACTGGAAATATCAAAAAAATTTCGCAATTTGGTAATAAAATGATATCGGACCACCTGTAACATTCTGTAATTTTTCGCTCGAGAGCTGAAAATCAGAATTCA